AAAGCGTGGCAGGTGATGCCACGGCATGCAGGGAGGGGGGAAGGGGGGGATCACTGGGAGAATGATCCTAGCAGGTGGGTAGAGCTAGCTAGGCGAGGATGTCAGGGAGTCTAATGCTGGCACGGACCGGCATCACATGCTGGCAGCAGTCAGTCACAGGTTCGGTGGCCATGCCTCTATGGGCCGTGGTCACCCCAGGTTGGCCAGGTCAGCGTGCCGCCCTGCTGCTCACAGGTTGATGACTGGAGCAAGAGGCGAGCGCACATGGCTCACAGCAGCACTGCCACCAGCAGCAGTGGCAGCACTAGCATGGGTCTTCACCGCAGTGGCCGGGCCATTGGTGACTGGCACCCAGCGCTTCTGGTCGTAGCGCCGCGCCGAGTGCGACACGTGCGTGCCGCTGGTGGTGGCAGAATCCGCCACGGAGCAGCTCTCGTTCTCGGGGTCAGGGCTCTGGGGGAGGGCGACGGTGGGGGGGAGAGGGAAGTCAGGCGGGGAATGCAGGTCAGGGGGAAGTCAGAGAGCGTTAGTTGGCGAGCTGGGCGCGCATCAAACAGACAAGGGTGAAATGAGTTATTTGGCGTGACAGTGCAAGTATGCAACATGGCAAGCAAGATTCAAGAACACAGGAGCGGAAGGCAAGAGTCTATTTTTTAGGCGCCTCAAGAATAGATTCCTCACGCATGCAAGGCACGAAAGACGTGTGACGATGAACTCACCGGAGCGTTGGTGCAGGGCGATGCAGCGGTGAGATTGGGGATGGGGGAGATGGGGGAGGCGGGGGAGAGGGGGGAGAGGGGGGAGGCGGAGGCGGCGCCGGGGGAGATGGGGGAGGGGAGGCCGTCGGGGGAGAGCGAGAGCAGCAAATGCTGCAGCTGGCTGTGCACCTCCGCCATCCGCGGGCGGTCCTCGGGCTCGTGCTGCAGGCAGTGCGCGGCGACGAGCGCGAAGAGGTGGAGCGACTTGGGGTCCAGCGTCGAGTTAAGGCGCAGGTACGGGTCCACCAGGCTCGTCACGGCGAGCCTGTTCTCCAGGTGCGGCAGCACCCACGTCAGCAGCGACTGCTGCCCCTTGGGGCGCGTGGAGTCCACGGGCTTGCGCCCCGTGAGCAGCTCGAGTAGCACCACGCCGAAGCTGAACACGTCGGACCGCGCCGTCTGCTCGCCGCTGACGCGGAATTCCGGGGCCTGGTAGCCCATGGAGCCCAGGACGGAGGGCGACACGGCGCGGCCCTCGGACCAATCGCGGACGAGCGTGTGGATGCCGACGTCTTTAATCTTGGCGCGCAGCTCGCCGTCCAGGACCACGTTGTCGGCCGACACGTCGCGGTGAATCATGCGCGGCTCGCACTGTTCATGCAGGAACTCCAGCGCCGCCGCCACGTCCACCGCGATCTGCACGCGCTTCTGCCACGTCAGCGCGCGCTCGAACCGCAGGTCCCCGTGCAGGTGGTCCTTCAGGCTGCCACCCGGCAGGTACTCATACGCCACCCACCGCTGGCCCTTATCCGCGCTATAAGCCATGATCGCCACCAGGCGGTCCGACTGCACGCAGAGGTCCCCCAGCGCCTTAACCGCCGCCGCGAACTCCGCCTCGTCGAGCTTCTCCCCCGAGAGCTCGAGCAACACCGCCATCTGCACGCGTTCCTTGCTGGAGAAGTCCGCCTTGTACATGCGCCCGTGCCCGCGGTCGCCGATTAAGTTCGCCTTCGAGTACCCCTGCGTCGCCGCGTGGATCGCCTTAAGACCGATCTTCTTAATCTCCATTACCTCCTGCCCGTTACCTCCGCTCTCCCCGTCTTCTACGGTTCGAGTTGTTCCAATTTCCGGCGTGCGCGGGTCGTCTCCGTTATCGCCGCCGCATAACCCGGCGGTGTTTGCGGGGGAAGCCGGCGAGCCCATGCCTTGGAACGCGAAGCTTCGCTCTGACACCCCCGGCGTGTCGCGCGGCGTGCCCGCGCCGCTCTCGCCGCCGACACTCGCGCGCGCGCCGGCGGGAGTGCCGGGGATGCCGCTGCGGAAGGAGAGCGCGGGCTCGTTGAACGAGTTGCCGCCGGAGATCGAGGGCTTCACGGGCGGGAAGGGGTTGCCACGTGGCAGATCCCACCTTCCCCAGATGGCTGGCGGAAGCGAAGGGGGGGAGGTAATTGGGGGAGATGAGGTAATTAGAGTGAGAAGGAGAACGAGAGGTGCGCTTCGTTCTGGCCGGTGCTGTGCAGAGAGCGAGAAAGACGGCGACGCGACAGCAGCTCAGGAGCTCTGCGTTCTGACCCGCTGCCCTGTTATACTCACAGTCCGCTTGCTACTCACTATGCACTCCATTCGCTGTACTCACATTTCTTCCCGTGTGGCCTGTACGGCGCCTCGATGCTGCCCGTCAGCACCTTCGCCATCCGCGAGTTCTCCACGTCAGCTCGGCGCGCTGCGTTCCTGTCGCGGCGCCACGTCAGCAGCTGGCAGAAAAGCGCCGCCAGAACCAGCGCGGCCGCGAGCGACGCGACGACGATGCCGATTATGGCTCCGGTGCTGAGCCCGGACTTCGAGGCTGACGAAGAGGAGGCCGACTCGGCGTCGGTACCCTCCGTCTCTCGCGACGGCTTGAAAGCGAGGCCGGGCGCTCCTGAAAGCACGAAGAACATGGAACGGTGACGACTCGGAGCATGATGGAACGACTGCATGGAGCTGGGGGAAGCCTCCGGCAGCACGGAAGACACTTGGGGAAAAGCAGGAAGACACTTGGGGAAAAGCAGGAAGACACTTGGGGAAAAGCAGGAAGACACTTGGGGAAAAGGGGGAGGCAAATGGAGAGCACGTGACCGTACCGAGCACTTCGTAGTTGCTGAACGCCTTCGATAGAATCACGCGGTGCCCAGTCACAGCCTCCACCAGCTTCGCCTCCTGCCCCGCCTCCAGCGCCGAGCCGTTCACCGGCAGCACGGCGAGATACAGAATTACGCTGCCCGGTTCGCGCCCAATCACCAGCAGCTGACGTGGCTCCATCTGCAGCGCGCGGGAGAGCTCCCCGAGCAGCACGTCCTCCTGGTTCGCGTTATAAGCCGCAAAGTCCAGGTCCTTAAATCGGATCTTGAGCAGCGAAGGCTTGACGCACGTGCATCCGTCCTGGAGGCTCGGTAAAAGGTTGTCCGCGCAAGGCGGGCAGTCGGGAAGCGGCGCGCTGATCAGCGGAGGGGCGCTTCCCGCCGCTTCCGCGGCGTCTTCCACCGGCGCGGGAGTTGCGGGTAGTGGCGCAGCCGACGCGCCAGCGCACAGCACGCCGGGAGTCGCGCTGCAGAAACGATTTCCCGGACCCAGCTTGAGGTAAGTGACGGCTTTAAGAGCGGCGGGAATAGCGCCGGAGAGATTATTCCCGTAGAGATATAGGTGCGTGCAGGTGACCATGCCTCCTAGTGCGGGAGGCAACTCGCCGGTGAAATTATTATTCTGTAGCTCGACCTCTTGTACCGCGTACAGCTTGCCGAGCTCGGGCGGGATCTGGCCGGCGATCTGGTTGTCGCACAGTCGCAGCTGCAGCAGCCCCGTGAGGTTGCCGATGAACGGCGACAGCGCGCCTGCGACGCCCATGCCGCACAGATCGCTGTTCGTCGCATGGAGGAGGAGGGCAGGAAGGGATTGGGGGGGGGGAGGAGAGAAGCAGGAGTGCAAGATGAGACGGCGACTGATGTAAGTGAGACATGCAGCATCTCTCGTTTCTGATGAAGCATGCGCGACTGATGCGAATGCGGGCTTACAGTCTCGTAATGACGCCGGGCCGAGCGCAAGTGACGCCGACCCACGTGCCGTCGCAGGGGTCGTTGGTGGTCCACGTGGCGAGCGCCGCGGGCTTGCTGCCCTCGAAGCCCAGCTTCAGCTCGCGCATCGCCTCCAGTTGCCCTGCACATGCGGGCAGGCCGGAAAAAGTAGGAGGTGGGAAGCAGAGGCGAAAGGAGGACTTTAGTGTCTACGCGTCAATTCGGGCGGCGAATCATTCAAATTATCTTTTGAAAACCATGCGTGTTGATGGTCATTCGTTCTGGCTGGAAGGGAGACTGCCAGGGCCGCTAATGCGCAAAAGGTAGGCCAAGCTGTACCTAGGGACGAGGGGTCTGAGGGATCGATAAAGAGTGCTGACGCGGTAAGCGCGAATGCAAGGCCGAGCAACGCCCGGATCGTGAACCTCCGAGCCATGTCGCTGAGTCGTCGCGGCATGGCGGTTCTTCTGCTGCCAACAGTTGACGAGGAGAAGCGTCAACGGATTTTCCAACAAAGCTAGAGCGAGATCCTAAGAGCGCAGAGTTGTTATAGTCTGAGTTTAGTTTGCGAGAGAGGTAAGAGATAAGCCTGGAAGGTGGAAGAGTTATGCCAGAGGATGCACCGAGGTGGTGCTGGAAGCGAATGGGCTGAACCAGCAGAACTAATTCGTCCACGCGGTTTTCATGCTATTTGTTTTGCGAAAGAACAGCTCGGATCGGCTTTCGTACGATCGGCTCTACCTGGTTGAATAAGTGACAGAACGGTATTGCGGCCGATTTGATTGTTTTGGCGCAAGCATTTGGTTGCGACCCTAGGGGCCAAATCGCAAGAAATGTACACATCACAGAGAGGGCGAGGCGAGATGCACCTGAGCAGAAGGGCCGAGGTGAGCACCAGGGGGACGAGGACTCACGACGAGTCACGAGTCACGGCTCAGACAAACAGCAAGGGACGAAGCAGTTGGCTTGGCGCCAGCACACATCCGCGTTTCGGTGTCGCCCCGCTCGAGAGTCGCATTTGGCCGTCGCAGGAAGCATTGCGGAATGCGGTGCGGTGGCGGAAGGGAGGGCAAGATTTGAAAAATGTCGCAGAGGGCTGACCGCGCCCTTTTTCAAACTCAGGTTCAAAAAGTTCCCGCCCTGAGGGGATCTGTCGCAGGGATGCGGTGCAGCAGGCAACTCCAGGGCTCTTCTCGAATACTTTCCAGTACGGGAATATGCGATAACACATATGCTCAACAATATCGAAAACCTTGAAAAGTTTTGTTAATTCCAAGACACAAAAATGCATCCTATGCCCCACAACCCCTACAAGAAAAAAGGACAAGAGCAAGATTTGTCAACTACTGAAATTAGGAGTCAATTAGGCAAACACATATCCCAGCCAACCCCATTGATTCCATATCACATCAACGGGAATACTGCTCCGATGAAGCTACTCTACTCTACCCCATCCCACTTGGTGTTAGTCTGCAATGGCCCTGGAGCAATTATGAACCGTGGACACGGCTGAAGAGGGAGGATGGGAGGACGAGTGCAAGGGGGGGGGGGGGGGGGGCAATTTCCACTTGTGAAGCAAGGGCCAAACAACAACAGGAGAAATATGAATGAGGTTCAAAAGATCTCTAGAAGAGAGAGTGAAAGCCCCAGGCTAGAATAGCAAAGAAGGGCCCAACTTGAACCTTGGCCTTCTAGAATTCGTCCAAGTATAGGATGACTGAGTAGAATTACTGTTGTGAATTTCGGATGGAGAGGAGTCTGAAATGTGTTGCTCGATCATGATTGGCTGACGCAACAATCAGCTTAGCGAATGTACAGTGCGACACTTCTGACTCGCGTGTCAGAAGGGATCGCATGTGGGACATTTTTCCCTGGAACCCAACTCCATTTTCCAGTTGGGACCAGGTTTGCTTCTGGGGTTTCACAGGGGGGTTTAGAAACAGTGCAACACCTCGCGAGCTGTACGACGAGCAAGATCGTCGAAACACTTGCAAGTGACAGTGGTTCCGCTACGAACCACAAACTGTTTCCAAATCTATTTCAAACATAGCCCGGTGCCCAAAAAAAAAAAAATCCAACTCGTTTTCACACCAAGCCCCCTTTCTTGTTCAAGCTGGGCCCAACTTGAATAGGGTTTGCTATTTCAATCAAGGGCTTTAAAATGGCCACCCTCTCAAACCATGTAATTCATATCAAAAGTTTAGACATACCTTCAATACCAGGGGACCCTCTCTCTGCCTCGCGCTCTCCCTCGCCCCCTGCCCCTGCCTCTGCCCCTGGCCCTCCCCCTTCCCCTTCCCCTGCCATGCAAAGGGGGGCGGCCCCTGGGCCTTGGCAGTGCTGGGTCCTGCAGGCAGAGGGAATGGGGTGAGGAACGGTTGGAAGTGGTGGGTGGGAGCGGGGATGGCAAGGAAAGGGGGATGACTTGAGATCAAAAGGCGAGCATGTGAGACGAGAATGTGAGACGAGAATGTGAGACGAGCATGTGAGACGAGCATGTGAGACGAGCATGTGAGACGAGAATGTGAGACGAGAATGTGAGACGAGAATATGAGACGAGAATGTGAGACGAGCATGTGAGACGAGCATGTGAGACGAGCATGTGAGACGAGAATGTGAGACGAGCATGTGAGACGGGCATGTGAGACGAGCATGTGAGACGGGCATGTGAGACGAGCATATGAGACGAGCATGTGAGACGAGAATGAGGGACGAGAATATGAGACGAGAATGTGAGACGAGAATGTGAGACGAGTATGTGAGACGAGCATGTGAGACGAGCATGTGAGACGAGCATGTGAGACGAGAATGTGAGACGAGCATGTGAGACGGCCATGTGAGACGAGCATGTGAGACGAGCATGTGAGACGAGCATGTGACACGAGCATGTGACACGAGCATGTGAGACGAGCATGTGAGACGAGCATGTGAGACGAGAATGTGAGACGAGCATGCGAGACGAGAATGTGAGACGGGCATGCGAGACGGGCATGTGAGACGAGCATGTGAGACGGGCATGTGAGACGAGCATGTGAGACGAGAATGTGAGACGAGCATGTGAGACGGGCATGTGAGACGAGCATGTGAGACGGGCATGTGAGACGAGCATATGAGACGAGCATGTGAGACGAGAATGAGGGACGAGAATGTGGGACGAGCATGTGAGACGAGCATGTGAGACAAGAATGTGAGACGAGCATGTGAGACGGGCATGTGAGACGAGCATGTGAGACGAGCATGTGAGACGAGCATGCGAGACGAGCATGCGACACGAGCATGTGACACGAGCATGTGAGACGAGAATGTGAGACGAGCATGCGAGACGAGAATGTGAGACGAGAATGTGAGACGAGCATGTGAGACGAGCATGTGAGACAAGAATGTGAAACGAGCATGTGAGACGGGCATGTGAGACGAGCATGTGAGACGAGCATGTGAGACGAGCATGTGACACGAGCATGTGAGACGAGCATGTGAGACGAGCATGTGAGACGAGAATGTGAGACGAGCATGCGAGACGAGAATGTGAGACGAGAATGTGAGACGAGCATGTGAGACAGGCATGTGAGACGAGAATGTGAGACGAGCATGTGAGACGGGCATGCGAGACAGGCATGTGAGACGAGCATGTGAGACGGGCATGTGAGACGAGCATGTGAGACGAGAATGTGAGACGAGCATGTGAGATGGGCGGAGACGGGCATGTGAGACGAGCATGTGAGACGGGCATGTGAGACGAGCATGTGAGACGAGCATGTGAGATGAGAATGTGAGACGAGAATGTGAGACGAGCATGTGAGACGGGCATTTGAGACGAGCATGTGAGACGAGCATGTGAGACGAGAATGTGAGACGAGCATGTGAGACGGGCATGTGAGACGAGCATATGAGACGAGCATGTGAGACGAGAATGAGGGACGAGAATATGAGACGAGAATGTGAGACGGGAATGTGAGGCGAGTATGTGAGACGAGCATGTGAGACGAGCATGTGAGACGAGCATGTGAGACGAGAATGTGAGACGAGCATGTGAGACGAGCATGTGAGACGAGCATGTGACACGAGCATGTGACAGGAGCATGTGACACGAGCATGTGAGACGAGCATGTGAGACGAGAATGTGAGACGAGCATGCGAGACGAGATGTGAGACGAGAATGTGAGACGAGCATGTGAGACAGGCATGTGAGACGAGAATGTGAGACGAGCATGTGAGACGGGCATGCGAGACGGGCATGTGAGACGAGCATGTGAGACGGGCATGTGAGACGAGCATGTGAGACGAGAATGTGAGACGAGCATGTGAGACGGGCATGTGAGACGAGCATGTGAGACGGGCATGTGAGACGAGCATATGAGACGAGCATGTGAGACGAGAATGAGGGACGAGAATGTGGGACGAGCATGTGAGACGAGCATGTGAGACAAGAATGTGAGACGAGCATGTGAGACGGGCATGTGAGACGAGCATGTGAGACGAGCATGTGAGACGAGCATGCGAGACGAGCATGCGACACGAGCATGTGAGACGAGCATGTGAGACGAGAATGTGAGACGAGCATGCGAGACGAGAATGTGAGACGAGAATGTGAGACGAGCATGTGAGACGAGCATGTGAGACAAGAATGTGAAACGAGCATGTGAGACGGGCATGTGAGACGAGCATGTGAGACGAGCATGTGAGACGAGCATGTGAGACGAGCATGTGAGACGAGCATGTGAGACGAGCATGTGAGACGAGAATGTGAGACGAGCATGCGAGACGAGAATGTGAGACGAGAATGTGAGACGAGCATGTGAGACAGGCATGTGAGACGAGAATGTGAGACGAGCATGTGAGACGGGCATGCGAGACAGGCATGTGAGACGAGCATGTGAGACGGGCATGTGAGACGAGCATGTGAGACGAGAATGTGAGACGAGCATGTGAGATGGGCGGAGACGGGCATGTGAGACGAGCATGTGAGACGGGCATGTGAGACGAGCATGTGAGACGAGCATGTGAGATGAGAATGTGAGACGAGAATGTGAGACGAGCATGTGAGACGGGCATTTGAGACGAGCATGTGAGACGAGCATGTGAGACGAGAATGTGAGACGAGCATGTGAGACGGGCATGTGAGACGAGCATGTGAGACGGGCATGTGAGACGAGCATTTGAGACGGGCATGTGAGACGAGCATGTGAGACGGGCATGTGAGACGGGCATGTGAGACGGGCATGTGAGACGAGCATGTGAGACGAGAATGTGAGACGAGCTTGTGAGATGGGCATGTGAGACGGGCATGTGAGACGAGCATGTGAGATGGGCATGTGAGACGAGCATGTGAGACGAGCATGTGAGACGAGCATGTGAGACGAGCGGCCAACCTGAAGCACAGCAGGAGGAACGGCAGACGGAGGGGGAGAGGAATGGGAGGCAAAGAAAAAGTGGGCAAATCGCCGTGTCACTCAAAAGGGCAAGTGCAGGCGGTTATACCAGATCACCCACTCACCCTCACAAGCACCATGGGAGCAGGAGGCACCTCCTCCACCTCCACCTCCTCCTCCTCCTCCTCCTCCACCGCCACCCCCTCCCCCACGGCCTGCGCCCTCACCATCACCCACTCCCGCTCCCGCACATCAAAGAGCATCGACGGCCGCAGCTGCTGCCACGTCAGCTGCTTCTGCGCCATCTCACCATAGCCTGAAGGGAGGGGGGGGGGGATGAGGGAGGAGGGGGGGGAGGGGAGTGGTGAAGGGAGGGGGGGGAGAACCAGCACAAGTGGAGTGAGTAGCTGTGCGGCAGGGTGCATTAAGGCCACATCTTTGGCCCTCTTCCGCATTGCAACTCAGCTTCGAGAATCTGAAGCGCCTAAAGGCAGGGTGGAATGCGGCTGTGATCCAGTGAACGGGAGAGGCAAGCATTGGGGGGGGGGGGGGGCGGGGGGGGGAAGCACTAACCTGGGAATTCGACCGTAGCCATGTTGGCTGCGGCATCGTCTGACAGTGCTGTGATGACACCCTCCCACCACCTGAGACACGCGCAGCACGGGAAGCAGGGGGGCAGAGGTGAGAGAGAGCAAAATAACAGCAACACAGCACTGCCAGATGATGCCCGACGGCAAAACCAGGGCCGTGCATACAAGGAATGAGTAGAGAGCGCAACGGAAAGGGCAGAAGACAATATCCACTCACCCGTCATCCACCCAGGCATCCACGTGGTCCCCCACACTCCACCCCACCACACTCCCCTGCGCCTCTTCCCCCCGCCCCTGCCCCTTCCCCTGCGCCCCACTGCCCCCGCCCCCGCATAGGGGGGCCTGGCAGGGCGCAGGCAGCGCTGGGGCTCTCCACCCGGGGGAGGTGGGGGGAGGGGAGGGGGAACGCCGGACACGAGGTGGGGGGATGGGGGAGGTGGAGGAGGAGGGGCGGGAGGAGGGGGCGCAATGGAGACCCACTCCTCGAGATGGTAGGTGCCTGGCAGGCATGAGTAGGGAGGGGGGGGAAGGAAGGAGGAAGATGGAAGAAAGGAGAAGGCAGGTGAAGATGGAAGAAAGGAGAAGGCAGGTGAAGATGGAAGAAGGACAAGGGTTGGACAAAAGTGCGGGTCCAGCACCACCAGCACCCTTCACCAGCACCACCAGCATCCTTCACCAGCACCACCAGCACCACCAGCAGCACCACCAGCACCACCAGCACCTTCACCAGCACCACCAGCACGACCAGCAGCACCAGCAGCACCAGCACCACCAGCACGACCAGCAGCACCAGCAGAAACGGCACAAGAAGCATGCATAAGAGCGGCTCACCCGCGTCGTCCAGCAGCTGGTCGTAGCGCACTAGCGCCCGGCGTGCCTCCATCTGCAGCACCGTGCCCGTGAACCAGCTGCCCCTCAACCCCTCCTCGTTGGACGCCACCTGCACGGGCAAGGCAACGACGGTGTGCACACGCGCGCATGGCAGGGGGGGGCAGAGTGAGTGCATGCAGCACAGTGCCCGTGAACCAGCTGCCCCTCAACCCCTCCTCGTTGGACGCCACCTGGCATGACACGAGAAGACAAGCGCAGCGAGAGAGAGGGGACAGGGAGCACGGGGATGGTGGAGAGGGAGAGATGGGTTAAGAGAATTCTCGAAAACCAACTCTGGGAGAGCATGCGGCACAGAGCCCGTCAACCAGGTGCCCCTCAAAGCGTCCTCGTAAGGGAAACCTGATGTGCATGCAGAGGGCCAGGACGCATGCAGAGGGCGGGCACAATGACGGTAGGTGAGTGCGCAGAGGGAGAGAGCCAAAGGAGACAGCCACAGAGTCACTTCAGCTCGGATTCCTGGATGGCAGCAGCCCGCGCCCCTGCTGCTGTTCACCTCTACAACTGTGCTGCACGCTGCTGGCCTCAAACTCCCAAACCTCCCACGTCAGCGTAACCCAACTCGCCCCTCCTCCTGCTCACCTCCACTGGCTTTCTGCCCAACTCTGCTGCTCACCTCCACTGGCTTTTCGCCCAACTCTGCTGCTCACCTCTACCGGCGTGCCCACGTGGAAGCGGTGCGGCAGCTTCAACCCCCACACCCGCCTCTCCTCCACCTCCTCCGCATCCTCCTCCTCCTCCTCCTCCTCCTCCGCCTCCTCCACCACCACCACGTCTTCGTCCTCCTCCCCCTCTCCAACCTCCTCTCCCCGCCCCTCCAGGAACCCCACCGCCCTCCTCATTGTGCTCTCCAGCCCCTCGCTCCCCCTCCCCCTCCCCCGCTTCCCCAGCACACTCGCTCCCCCCTCCCCATACCCCCCCACTTCCTCCCTAACCCCATACTCCTCCAAATCGACCCCCTCGTCTTCCTCCTCTTGCTCTTCCTCTTCCTCCTCGTCGTCATCCATCTCATACCGGCTATAGTAGTAGCTCCTCCCACGACCCTGCCCCTGCCCCTACCCCTGCCCCTCCCCGTCCCCTTCCCCTTCCCCTCCCCGACCCCTGCCCTCCCCTGCCCCTCGCCACGCTAGCCATAGACGTGAGGGGGAGGGGGGGCTCAGGAGCCCAGGGGGAGTGAGCAAACGGCTCTGGCTGGCCAGTAGCATCCTGCCACATGGCATCCGCTCCACGCACCCATACCCCCCATGCCCTCCATGCACCTCGTGCCCCCATACCCCCATTTGCCCCCGCCCCCCCCTGCTTCTCCCCCACGCCGCCGCCACCGCCCTCTCCTTAAACGCCGTCACCGCCTCTGCCGCCGCCCGCACCGCCGCTGACGCCGCCCGTGCCACCACGGCCGCCGTCATCACCTGGGCGGCAGCCACCCCCGCGTGGTCCCTCCTGTTGACCAGCTCCTCCAGCTCCCCGGCCATACTTCCGCCCACGCCACCACCGGGCGCTTGCTCATCGACGACCCTCCCCCTCCCCCTCCTCCTCCTCTCTCTTCCCCGTCGCCAGCCATCTCCTCCCCATCCGACCCATACGCAGGGACGATCTCCACTCCTACTAGGTGCCAGCTGCGCCCCCTGCCCCTCCCGCGCCCGCGCCCCCTGCCCCTCCCCCTGCCACGCCCCTGCCCGGATGGCTATCCCCGGTGCGTCCCAGCCCTCGTCGTCGAACACCCCCATCCCCCCATGGCCATGCAGCGCCAAGGGCCATGCCCATGCCATGCCATAGCCTTCCATGGGCATGGGCATGCCGTCCATGCCCATGTGCATGGGGTACTCGCCACCACCCATGGCGCCATACGCGCTGGGCACCATCATACCGCCATCCGCACCCATGCCCCCTCCCATCTCCCCCATCCCATACCCCTCCCGCCTCCAGCCCCCCCATAACCCCCATACCCCCCATACCCGCCGTACTCCCTGCCCCCGCCATACCCATACGCGGGCATGCTGCCGCGTCTGCCCCTGCGCCCCCTGCCTCTCCCCCGGCCTCTGCCCTGCCTCTCACGCCGTCCGGGGACACATAGCTGCCGCCGCCCGCTGCCGCCCCGCCGCCGTCCATGAGGAGGGCGGCAGGGGCGGCCTCTCTGCGCCTGCGCCAGGCGTCGGCCACCTCAATCCAGCGCTGGTGGTCGGCGAGCCAAGCTGCGACGGCACGGTGGCAAACACCAGGTCTCGAAGCTCCTCCTCCAGCGGCTCCTTGCGACTGTTAGAGAGGTGGGGTGCAAGAGTAGGGAGGGAACGCAGGTGATGACACGAGGCGGTGAAAGCACGGGATGAGATAGCACGGTGGCACACACCAGGTCTCGAAGCCCCTCCTCCAGCGGCTCCTTGCGACTGCCACAATGGTGGGGGAAGAAGAGCAGGGAGAGAAAGCAGGCGGTGGCGCACGGGACGAGATATTGGTCCGGCGTGGTCTTGCGAGCATTGCTAGGATGGCCCTGTGGCAAACACCAGGTCCCACAGCTCCGCCTCCAAGGGCTCCTTGCGGCATGGGCGGCATGGGCGGCATGGGCAGCATGGGCAGCATGGCAGGTTGTTCACAACTTTACGACCACATCTCCCAGCACGCACCACACTGAATCGCATGTCTCTCCACTCACAAGATGCGGCCGTAGAAGAGGATGTGCGCCTCGATCTGGTCCAGCAGCATGGGCAGGACGGCCAGGTTGCCCACGGCAGGCGACGGCACCGGCTGCGGCAGCTGCGACTGCAGCACTACCCGCTCCGCTGCCTCTATGTGCGCCGCCACTGCCGCTGCCGCTGTGCTGCGTCTGCTGCTGCTTCCTCTTCCCCCTCACCCCTGCTGCTTCTGCCCCTCCGCACCCGCCGCTGCTGCTCCACCTCCCCGCCTGCTAGCTCCAGCTGTCCTGCAACCGGCACCAATGCGCCCCCCCTGCCCCTTCCGCTTGCATGGGAGAAGGAAAACCTCGCCCGCTCCCCCTCCCCTGCCTCGTGCACGTGCGACGGCCCAGCCGCTGCTGCCTCTCCCCTTGCTGCCCGTGTGGCACTGTCTCCATCCCCTGGGCATACACCACACCCCCTCCCCCTCTGCAGATGCTCCGTGTGCTACTTCTGATGCTGTCGCCATGCCCCCCTCACCCTCACCCATTCCCTCTGCACTCATACCCCGCTCACTCGCTCCTGTAGCCATCTCCCCTTCGCAACTGCAGTAGTGGTAACCACTCGCCTTCGCCCACTTCAATCGCCGTGACAGCCTGCCCCTCGAGTGCACCGTCTGCTGCCACTGTCTCGACTCCGCCGGCGCCGCCCACAGCCGCCTCCTGCTCTGCTACAGCAGCCTCATGCCCGCTACAGCCCCTTCTGCCACGGCTCACCTGCCTCCTGCTCGGGTAAAGCCGGCTCCTGACCCGCTGCAGCAGGCTCATTTGAGGCAGGCGCCATCTGAGCATGCTCTGCGCCCCTGCTTGCTCTGCGCGCTGCACGCGCTCGTACTGCACTGACGAGTCGATATAAGCAGCTTCGTGGTGCACAGGTTCCTCGATATAAGCACTCTCTGTTGAGTCACCTCCGCTGCTTCAGCCATGTCCACGTCAGCTCTCGGCTGCTCCCCCTCTGCCAAGCCTCCTTCCCCATAAGCCGCAACACCAGCTATTTCCTGCTGCACTATATGAGTCCCCCCATCTCCACCCATCTCTTGGTACTCAGAACGGCCTCCCGAGCCTGCTCCTCCATCCCGACCTGCGCACTCTCAGGCTCGGCAACACCCAAGCCAGAACCAGCCTCGGTTCCTGGTCCGGTCCCAGGTTCGGCCGCTGGTTCGGCTTCAACTGCCGTCGCCTCGGTTATCATGACCGCAGCTGAACCGCCCCAGACCACCGGCGTCCATGTTCAGATCAAACCCCTCGCCTTGAGCCACAGGCGCTTCAGCCACCTCTCCTTCAGTCACCACTTCTTGAGTCACACTTTCATAAGCCACCGTTTCTTCCATCCCTGCTTCTTTAGTCACAACGGCTGCAGTCACACTCTCGGCAGTCACATACGCCTGATTCCCGTCAGGCGCTTCAATCCCCATGCCTGCATCAGCATCCGTCCGAAGCGCCAGGGAACCATCCGTCTGGTTAGTAGCTTCATATTTTCTTCCCCCATCTGGTCGATCTGCGGCGCCAGCGCGAGCTCCGTCTCGTGGCGCGCCGCCTCGAGCATGTCGTCCAGAAGGTTCTCCGCGTCTTCCATGCCGTCCCGCGCCGCCTCCACTGCTACAGCCTCGGTTTCGGGGAGCGCGCCTGGCGGGAAATGCTGGTTCGGGTCTTCCATGATCGATGATTAAAACCGAGGATACCGGAACTTTCGACAGTACCACTGGTAGACTCGATACGAGCTGCGCCACGGCACGCAAAAGCGCAATGGAAAATTGCTGCGTTTTTAGTATACAGTACGTAATGATGTCAGGCGGGCCGGTATAACGGGAGGCCAACTGGGGCTGGGAAAAGAGACTCGCGAATAGCGAATAATGGGAGAACAACCGTTCGATTGAAAAGTAGGGCGTGCAGAGAAAGAGAATTGCACCGTAGTCGTGCATGTCAGAAAACGAAGCGAGACGAGCCCCGCGCTCTCAGTCGCGTACGACCTACTACTCACGGCTTACGACACTGACGTCAAATACGTAGTCATGCATCACAGACGTGCTTCTCACCTGTGGAGCAGTCAACGTAGCAAAGCTCGAAAAAAGGGGTGACGATCACACCCGTCTAAAGCTCTGAAAGATGGTCAGCGTTGTCCCTCAGTCGCACCTAATACTGCAGCCGAGCCCGCGGTGTGACGAACGAAAGACTACATTAACTCGCTTACATGAAACCCTAGCCTGCTAACTGGACCTTGTGCACAGAGGGACTATATTTGTCCTCACAATGGAGCCAGCAACGCGAGTGCGGCAATGCGGGCTCGAGTCGGGGGGGCCGAAACAATTGAAAGGGCTGCCTGCCTGAAAGCAGAGAGGAACGAAATCGAAACTCGAGGGTCTATGCTGACAGGGGTCTACTGATTGGCCGCTCCTGAAACTGCGACCAGTCGGCCTCCACCCGCGTTCTGCTGCGTCATGCGCCCAAACCTGATTCAAAGTGCGACACTTACGTAACTAATCGCATTTGAAACAGGCTCTTCCCCATGAACGAACTGGAAGCTTTCAATGTCTGAATTTTCAAACGTAGAAACTGACTTGTGAATAACTGATACGCTTCTGTGTTACCTTCCCCACAGGGCTGTTTGAGTCCGACTGTTACATTACAAGCCCAGGTACGAACAATTTTACTTCCAATGAAGGTGCGAATTGCAAAAAATGCCAATTAAATATTATGGCATGGTTTTCATGAAATACATATGAAGCTGTTCTAGAATTAATAAGTTGTACAATCACTCTTCGGAGACTCCCTTACCTGAAGGAGTCGGACCAGTCTTTCCCCTAGTGTCTACGGTGTGCGCAAAATGCACTATCTTGCCATCACTCATCACCCCCCATGGCATTTTGCAGTGCCCTCCAAGAAAGAGGCCCCCCCTTGCTGCCAGTCCTTGCAAGGCTATTGCTGCCAGAGCCCAGCGTGGGCGGGGTGTGGGTGCCGCCCAGGCCACTGTTCTTGAGCTCCCTGGCTGTGATCACATACGCCACGTCAGGGTTGCTGCCCGTGATAGCATGATCTCCAGAAGCAGTGTGCCGCCCAGAATCCGCCGTCCAATGGCAGGCATCCTCAGGCCGTCGCACACAAACACCTCCAGCCCTGCAGTGTGGTGTAAGAGTGAGCGATTCAAAAGGTATGCATTGAGGACATGGGGTTGCGGAAGAGACGGAGGCAGCACACATTGGATGGGCTTGGGAGATGGAGGAGTTTTAGGGGAAGAACAAGTGGCTGTGTAAGGGCCCAAATGCAAGGGGGTTGGATGAGCTTGGGAGATGGTGAAAGGGGAAGAGCAAGGCGTCATGGATGTGTGCCCTAAGGCAGGCGTTGTGTGGGGGGATGGGACGGGGGATGGGATGGGATGGGATGGGATGGGCTGTGATCTCACCTTGGTCGGCGAAGTCATCTCGGCCGTCCACGCTGATGAAACAGATCCGCCACGTGCAGATTCTCCGGCAGCATCTCCGCCCCCCCAAACGCCGCCCACTGCCATCCCCCAGCCCCTCGATATCCGTGAACCCAAACAGCAGCCTGGCAGCCCGGTTCAGCGAGCTGATCCCGCCCATGTCATCCACGCCCAGGATCGCATCCCCCGTGCCCTTGAGCATGGCGCGCAGCCGCTCCTGCTCCTCGCGCTCCCTGCGCCGCTCCTGCAGCGCGGCCACGATCTGCGCCACGGTCTTGGTCATTGGCTGGATCTCCATCAGCAGCGTCTCCTCGTACCCTCCTTGCGGTTCGCCACCGCAAACATGCCCACCAGCTCCGCGCCGCGAAGAGCGGCACCCCGAGGAAGGTGGAGACGCGCTGGTGGCCGGGGGAACCCCGACGGCGCGCGGGTCGTTGGCACGTCGTTGCTGATGACGACGTCGGCCGTGGTGACAGCGGCCGAATAGGGTTTCCATGTTGGAGAACACCAGGCCTGAGGGCGCGTTCTCCGCGTACCACAGGCGCAGCTCGCGCGTCCACGCGAAGTTGGTGATGCCGTGGGTCTGAGGGGTTGGGGGGAGGGGAGAAGGAGAATGGGGGTCATGGGGCACACCGTTGCTCACAATGACGCGGCCGAAGAGGGTCTCCATGTTGGAGAAGAGACGCCAGGGATGACGCGCCCATGCAAAGTAGGTGATGCCGTGGGAGTGAGAGTTATGGGTCGAGGAGAGGGAGGAGGTTGTTTGTGGAGGGGGAGAAGGGAGGAGGGGGGGGATAAAGGAGGGAGTGAAGTGGGTGCGATGGTGGCTTTGAATGGGAGCAGGCGGAACGTGGTCTGAAGAACAGTGGTGGTGATGACCTGATGTGATGAGCTGATGTGATAAGCCGATGTGATGAGCTGATGTGATGAGCCTGCATATTCTATTTGTAACTGACTGGTTTTATCAGTTATAGCTGCTGGTTGGATGTTTAATATTGTAGCAATTACCTCCTGGCGTCCGGACAGATGTGTAAAATACATTACATCTCCCATGCATGCGTGACTCCATATTGTCACCCACGTGCGCAAGAAAGCCATGAGCCGTTCGCGTTAGGGCAGCACCCGCCTGCTGCTGAGGTGACTTTGGAGTCGACTCAAAAGTCACCTCGAACGCCATGAGCCGTCCACGTTAGTGCCAGCACCCGCCTGCTGCTGGCTACACGCAAGCAACCTCGGGTTTCCAACCTTAGACATAGCAGGGTCCCACTGTTCTCGCTTTAAAGCAGTAGGCGTCCCTCCCTTATTGTTCCCTGAGATGGTGAGTTCACTTTCCTCCTCAACATACAACCAGCACGTGCCCCGTTGCGCTCACCTTGAGATAGTAGGTGCCTTCGGGTTTCTTGAGCGCGCTCGCCACGAATCCGAACTTGGACTTGGTCAGATCCAGCAGCTGCGCCAGCAGGTAGTCGCCCACCTTGCTGCCGTTGGGGGACTGCCCAGTGGGGGAGAAGCGGGCGGAGTGAGCCAGGTGAGTGCGCGTAGGGTGGGAGGGGGGAGGTTGTGGGGGGGGGGGGGGAAGAGGAAGCTGCACCAGCAGGTAATCGCCCACCTTGCTACCGTTGGGGGACTGCCCAGTGGGGGAGAAGCGGGCGGAGTGAGCCAGGTGAGTGCGCGTAGGGTGGGAGGGGGAGGTTGTGGGGGGGGGGG